TGCTGAACCCCACGCTGAAGTTTGCGCTGGGAAAGGTGCTTCCTTCTGCCTTCATCCACTCTGCCCCAACCATGGCATTCGAACACCCCACCTGGCCAGCTTCTCTCTTACTATTCCCTTGCTGAAACATTTAAAGAGGAAGTTAGATGAAAGGAAAACACATTTAATTAAAAAACCCATAAATAGATTCATTTCAGTAGCCAGTGATAACGAAGGGGAAACTATAAGGGTTGTGCAACCCCAGCTAGCCATCCGATCCTGCTCCTTGCTACCTGTCAGCCCTGAAGCCACACCCAGCTCTGGGTGCTAAGAGTCACATGTGTTAGGTGTTTACAAAAGGGGAGGAGGGCGATGCCGGCAGGAAGACAGCGGGATCAGAGTGCACACCACCCACACTTCTAGCTTTCACTTCCGGTCCCTTTCTCGGGCTGCCACAAAATTCAGCAGGTCGATGGCGGTGACAACCCCGAATACCATCTGCCGCTTGCTGGACTTCCCGTTGCTGTGGTCTGGGGAGAAGATGTAAGGAAGCAGGGTTAAAGTGCCTGGAAGGAGCTGATCTGAGGCAGCGGCCCTACCTCCAAGCGGTCACTCCCAAAGGATCCCACCTCCCACCCCTTCCCCAAGCCTCCACTCACAGCACCTGTGCGCGAGCCCAGAGTGATACCCTAAGGAAGCCCGGCAACAATGCTCATCTTGCAACACGAGCACTGGCACGGCTGCAGAGGGCAGTCCCAGATCCAGCTGGGAAGCTCCACTCCTCTGAGCCTCAGCCCGTGGCCAGTGCCCCAGGGTTTCACCGCTCAGAACAAGCCTGCAGTCCTCCTCCATGCCCAAGGCTTGGCATGGAGTCAAACCCTGTTCCCAGGAGCAACACACAGCTCACTTCTCTGGCCTGATTCTGCCTTCACCCCACTCCTTCCTCTTGCCAGGTGAGGCTCAGTAGAGCTGGCCCTAACCCCACAGCCAACAGGCAGAGCGGGTGGCTGTGAGGGTCACTTTATGTGTCAGATTGACTGGACCGGGGGCAGCGCAGACATTTGGTCACACATCACTCTGGGTGTTTCTGGATGAGATTAACATTTGAGTCAGTAGCCTGAGTGAAGCAGGTGGCCCTACTCCACGTGGGTAGGCCTCATCCAGTCGGCTGAAGGTGGGCCCTCCCTCAGGTAGAGGATTTTTCCTGTTGTGGGACTTGAACTGAAACCTTGGCTCTTACAGCTTCAGACTGCCACTTGCCCATCAGCTGTCCTGGGTCACACACCCCCCAACCCCAGCTTGGATTAGGATTCCACGTAGGCTCTCCTGGGGCCCCAGCTCGCCTGTTGCACATCTCAGGGCTTGCCAGCCCTCGTGGTCACATGAGCCAATTCCTTGTAAGAAATCCCTTTCTATAAATACACATCTTGTCGGTGCAGTTCCTCCTGAGAACCTGAACACTTAGTTGTTAAGAAGCCCACTGAGGGGAACCAGCAGTTAGCATAATGGCTATGTCACTGGACTCCCACGTAGTCAACCGCGGTTCGCGTCCCAGACCCGGTGGCTTAGAACTCACGCCGGGCGCGTGTGCGTGTGTGCCCAAGATCCCAAGAGGAGAATGGAGGAGAAGGGATTGTGGCGTGACCATCCCCCCTGGGGGGTGATTTCTCGCTTTCTGTCTCTATGTCTCTGTCTGTCTGTCT